TTACATGCCCTAATGGTTTCCTAGGCTTTGTTTTGCAAGTGATGAATTCCATCTCTTGTAGGAAGATGGCTCTAGGTTTATCTCTTTTCTCTCACCCGGTAGTATGAATAGCTTTAACAGAGCTTATAGTGGCCCATTTATCTCCCCACTAGGGTTTTGATATCACTTTCAGTGGAGACTTTTGTCAGAATAAATTTCACAAATTTTGGCCTTAGATGTTTGGTCTTGCTTTATCTGTACTGCTTCCTTGGTGTGCTTGTTCTGTTCCTTGCACTTTTTTTTCTGTCTCCTTTAGTCTAAAGTGATTTTTTTCGTTCACTTCCTTTCTGTCATTTTAAATGATACCCATGTTTACCCTAGTGCAATCCAACATTGACTTATCCAAATTAGTATATTGGTAACTTGAAGCCATTTCTCATGAAAACAAATGTGTTTTTCACTGGCTGTGCACAAATGAAGATGCAGTGGACCTTCCAAAGGACATAGTCTGCACTTGAGAACCTTGAGGTTTTTTTCTCCTGTCTTCTTGTTCTTCTAAGAACTCCCTATTTTTGTAACCTAATAACTAGTTGAAAGACTTAGGTTGTTTGCTGTGAAGTCAAATCCTATATTTCCCATTGGGTACTGAAACCCTATAAGAATAGCCTTTGATTCATTTCATAAGAGATTTGATTATTTTTGCCCTCTCAGTGGTATTTTCGTTCTCTATCGGTGGTAGAAGTCACTGAGTGATCATACCTGTATAAACAAATGCCTAGGACTGAAGGCAGCAATGAGCATGAGATGACAACAGCAGCATTTAGCATAAATAATTTCCTCTCTCATTTTTGTAAACCCCAACAAATATTTTTATTACTTCTTAATGAGTTCCTTAAAATAAAAGTTGCATCTTTTGCTATAAGGTTCCTTATTAAATGCATATCTTTGTCTGTAGTTTCAATCCATTAGTAGATTTTGATAGCATAATCATCAGCTACGTAACATAGATCTGTATGATCAACATGTGCAATAGCTTATCTCAAAGATAAACTGGAGTGAGCCTGTCACTAATTAGACGATAGCGAAAGCATGCACTTTGATACGATAAGCATGATGCAGTTTTCTTGAATCCTGAATGATGTATTCCATTAAGTACTCTTTCCATTCCATTCATTCAAGCTCTGAAATCTCACATGAAAGCAATTGTACTGTCCGGTTTTTAGTCATAATGGCACACTCCTCACACTGCAGTAACCTAAGAATGGCTGTTGTGGGCTAGGCCGAGTCTACTCAGCCAAGTACCTTGCCTCAGATGATGGCCAGTATAACCATCTTCAAGCTTAAGGAAGATATTTTCCGGGATATATATAATGGAGGAAGTATGACTGTTATTCAGCATCTCTAGGAACTTGTCATATTCTTTCTGTAATGATAAATTTGCAAAGAGGTAAGTCATTTTTTTATTTGCTGTGAGGATCTACTTCTGTCCTTCTCCAGAGAACTGGTACGAGCTGCCACAAACACGGCCAGTGCTCTTATTTATAGAGGCCTTCTCTGAGTGTGTTTTGTTGGGCCCTTTGCCATGAAGATCTTGCAGTCCAGATTTGCAAGTGGATCAGAGGAAGAAAGCCACATACAATGGAAGATACGGGAGGCGCTCTCTAAAACCAGCGGCTTTAAATGGCTTAATTTTAGTGGCATTTGATGGTTTCACTCCCCTGCCCATAATCCCTTCTAGTCCTCCCTTCCCCAAACCCTCCAGCATTGGTCCATTACAGTAAGTAACATGCTATTGAGATGATGCAGAGATTTTAACAGTGATTTGCCAGGACTTACAGGAACACAAATACAGTATTCTAAAATGATTGGTCACCTGCACTCAGACAGTTATTACATTGGTGCTCTTCTCACTGTGGCCGTTATAAATCCATATAATGTGGAAAAGATTCCGGTTTTGGAAAAGATTCAGGTTATCTATGAGGCTGAAGCTAGATAGAAGACACTTGGATTTTAAGGTGGTGGGGGCCAACCACTGCCACAGCCCTGCAAGTCATCTGAGTCTTACACTCAAACTCTTTAAACTGAAAGAACAGCAGATTGGCGATGTCTGGGGGAAAAAATATTCTTGTTGGAGAATCACTTGGCTGCAAATTCTATATTTCAGTGAAGGGTTTGAGTTGAAGCAAAAAAGAAGTAGGAAGGTGTAAGCAAAGGCTGAGGGAGAACATAACCAGAATGGGACTGGCTTGGAAAGACTGAGCTAAATTGCAGAAGTCGTGCTACAAAGTGTGGGGGGAGGGGGGGAAAGGCTATGTTGGGTGAGAGTGAACGAGCTGTATAATGAAGACTTGCTGTGATGGCTGGGG